CTGAATTTTCACCCGTTCGCTTTTTTACACGTCTCCTTCCCGGAGAAATTGTTCTCCCTCTCGGGATATATCAGTCTCCCGAGGCGCGAGGCCCGAGTAATGCTCCGCAAGGATCCCACGGGTAAAAGGAGGAACCGCCCCCTCCCTGCCCGCCGATGCAGCGGGAGCTCGCGCGCGCCTTATAATACAATCCCGGTACGCGCACGAAATTCCCGCAGAAAATAACGTCTCATTTCGTCGAGCGCCCCCAGCAGCTTTCGCGTAATAACATGCAATTTCACCCCGTATCCTTCGCCTGGCCCGATCGATCTCTCTCTCTGCCCCCCTCTCCCTCGCGTTTAAGGTGCGCGAGTAAGCGTAGCCGGCGCAAAGTAGGCGACTTAAGAGAGCATCTCTAAGGGAGAAATTCATTCCGCGAAATTGAATTCTCGATTCGCCTCGGCAATCGATAGTCGAGATCGGGGATCAGGAGAGGCTTGCGGACACTTCCGTTTTTATGAGTTATGATTTTCCGAGTGTAGCGATAGGAGGCGGTGAATAAAAACGGACACGCGCGCGCGTGTGTGTACGTTGGATTTTTATTAGATCCGTATCGCATCACTGCCGATAAACCCGACACGCCGGCAATAACGTCGCACGACGACCGATCCCGACGACGCTCGTTTATCGTAACGTCCGCGTTACGGCCGGCGGCGGTGCCTACACCGCCGTCGGGAGAAGAAATACAGGAGAGTCGGTTAGACGCTGGCCGAGAGTTAATCGACGCTGGTAGAATCGGCCCTAAAAGAGGTCATTAAATTCCCGACGCGGGGAAAACGGAGGCGTACGGTACCGCCTGTCCGGTATACCCGGGCAAGAGCTACCGCGAGGAACGGAGGAACCACACGCTGTGCCCGCGTCGGAGGTGGCTGAGGAGGCTGCGGAGGGAACGGAACGCGGCGACGAGGAGGAAGATTGATCGCGGTGAAGCTGCATCTGCCACGGGGAAGTAGACAGAGAGAGAGAGAGAACACGAGTAAGGAGGAGGGAGGGAGGGGGGAGAACGAGGAGGAAGAGATAGAGATAGAGAAACGACGGGAGAGAACATCGGAGAGGCCCTTCGGGAGAGGCTCCGCCTTCAGCTGGCGTGTGCATTTGCGCAAGATGGCGCCGGTCGGTCGGTCGGTGGAAGAACCGCGGTTGCACATGTTTCGCACACCGGCAACCAGCTCTGTTTGCGCTCCAGCCACGTCGTGCCACTTCGACCCGACGAACAACATCGGGTCTTCTTCTTCTTCTTATTTTCCTTCTTCCTCTTCTTCGTCCTCCTCATCGTCATCATCATCGTCGTCCTCATCGTTCTCGTCATCATCATCATCATCGTCGTCGTCGTCATCGTTGCGAAGTGAGGATATACGACGACCGGGAGTCGCGAGCGACGGGGAAGGGCGACGGGAGGGAGGGCAGGTAGGGCGGGAGGGAGGGAGGGAAGAAGACCTAACTCTTATAAAAGCAGCGCCTCCCGCGTGGCCCCGCAATTACGTATGCACCTCTCTCAGACCCCGCGGGCTTCGCGGTTGGCTGCGCTTCCTTCCTGTCTGCCGCAACCACTGTGTATTATGCATCCCGCTCCGTGCGCGTCCGCCTATCTTGTTTATTTTTTTTACCATCGCTCCGCGCGCCGTCGTCCCACCCCGTCCTTCTTCTTCCCATCAACCTCTGTCTCTTTGTCTCTCTCCCGCTTTCTTTCACTCTCTGTCTCTCGCTGATTGTGGCTATACGTAGTAGAGAGAGGATCTCTCCTCCGTCCCGCTGAAAATCGTCAGATGGAAGGTCCGTTCGCTTCGTCGTCGGGCGCGCGTGAAAGCGTCTCGCGAATATGAAAATTCGGTCGGGTTGACAGCCCGAGCTGACCAACCCTGGCGATGTGCTTTTTCCGCAGGACACTCGACGACTCCGCTACGTACACGGAACCAGTGGAAATCAAATCACGTGGTTATAAATTATGCGCAAATTATGCGATTTTTTTCCTCCGTTTCGAATTGTCATCACACGCGACACTGTCATCGTGACGACAGGATAAACGCTCCGAGAGTGTTACAACGCCCATATTTACTAACCGAGGACAACGACGGCGCGTGTTTTTCCGCCTCTCGTGTCAGCGGCTGTCAAAACTAGCGACGCGCTCGCACGGAGGAAGCCTCGGTTTTCCGATGCGCGGCGTTTCCAGACGCGACGAGCATCAAAGACGACCGACGACGACGCGACGCTTCGAGGTCAAAGTGCCTCCTATCTATCTCCGCCGACCGGCAAGAAATTCGTACCGTTCCGCGCTTTTTCCGCGCCGTCTCGAGCGCGAGAAATCGTACGGACGCCAGATTTGATTCCGATTAGGAGGAGCGCCGTTTTTTCGGCGCCGCGAGCCTAACAGAGCCCCGAGTATGATCCACGCACGTCGGCACGAATCAGAGATATCGCCTTCCAGGGACCGGAGATCTGTCCGGCTGTATCGTGTTTCCACGGGCTCTCTCCTCGTGCGCTTTTTGGCCGCCTTCCCTCTCGCTTCCACCGCGGCCCGCCATCACACGTCCCGTCCGTCCTCCCCTCCCTCCCTCCCTCTTTCCTCCTCGCGCCTTCGGTCCTTCCTCGACGCGTCCGAGAATCTCGAGCCGACGTGGCTCACCTCTTCGTCCTTCTCCCCCCCGCCCCTC